TATATATATATTTAGTGTTTCATTGATATGTAAGATAATAATTAAAATGATATTTTTTTCCTAAAACTTCAAACTAAAGTTAAAAAACGGAACGGAGAAAGTAGTATATTTAGTTATCTGTTTAGCTTGTCATCCGTTAATAATAATAATTTGACATTTTTTTTTCTATCTCACAAAAAATAAAATAGGAAAAAAGTAATTATGCATAGCATTTTTCACGATTATAATAAAATATATATATAATTTACTGAAACTGATTTTTGTGGGGGAGGAAAAACTTGTTTTTGCGGGTTTAAAATTCATTTAATAATTTTCTTAGCATTTATTATGTATCATATTAACAAATAATTTTATTAGTCAAAATATTATTTAGAATATTTGTTAGTGTAATACAAAATATTGTTATTATAAGTTTATAATGTTTATATTAATAATTTAAAATTTATAAATATACAATAGATTAATTAAAAATAATCGTTATTATATAATTCTTTATAATGATAAATGAATAATCGTAATAAATATCGTAATGAAAAGCGTACGAGGTCGTGAAAAGCCAATTCCATAAACATAAGCATGCTGCATGCCAAAAGAAAAGACAAAAAATCCTGTGCCTTAACATTATTAAATTATTATATATAATTAATTATGGACCAAACCTAAATCGTTGATCTAATTAAAGTTACAAAAATAAAACAATCTTTTCACAGTAACATGTCGCATGTGCATTATACGCTCTCTTCCTACCTTCTTGGTTGGATCATCATAATAATATTATTTAGCGTAAAATTGCTTAGAACTTTTAATTTTAATTTATTTTTACAACTGCCAAAATTGTTTAGAACTTTTAATTAATTATTAATCGGTCAATGACATTGACCTTCAAATATATTTTTTTTCTTTCGTATCATTATTTTAAGATTTTGTCTTAAATTAAGTTAATTCAATCAAAAAATAAGTAAAGTTTAAATATTATTTTTGTTAAAGAAAAAAGAAAATAATAAAAGTTAAAAGTCGTTTAATCCAATGATAGTCTATTGTCGGTGACAGTTGTCTGTAGAAGAAATCTATATATTTGCTGAAGTTATTTTTCTTTGGATGAAAGAACCTAATCCATAATTAGCCACAATAAATCCAATTATTCGAAATTGGAAAAGGTATAGTTTCCGAAAGTGGAGAAATTTCACTCGAATATGAGGAAATATCCGAGGGTCCCATTAAATGTTCCTTAGAATGTATCCAAACACTAATAAGAATAAGATGATATTTTCATGTTTAAGTTAAAAATCAAATTTCAGTTTTTAGTTAAACAAGTGTAATACTATTTATATTAACAACTTTTAATTTTATGATATAAAATTTGTAATCCAAGAAGTATTTTTACTTGCCAACATAATGAAATAGTTTATGTTTTTAAACAATGCTATGTTATGAACGACAAAAAAGAAATCTTCTGAAATTTATATAATTAAATTAGAATAACCTGTAGCAGTTAATAAAAACACTTCTATTGATATAATTTAAGTCAAACTAGATTAACCCATTAATATTTCATAAGATTCAAAGTGAGTCGTATCTTAAAGAGAATAAGTTTCTTGCTAGATGAAAGACATTGGTTGAACTGAGTTTCTAATATATATTAATATATTAGACTTAAAGTAGATACCTTATATTTTATTAAAAAGAGTGCTTTATTATCAAAGTACATGCGTATGAGGGTGGCCAAGTCATGACGGTGAGCAGACAGAGAAATATAAGCATTGTTGAAAACGATTTTAATTTATTAACATTCTAAAAAAATTGTTTATTTCTGTTATGTAGTTTAAGTTTTAACTATTTTTTAAGTATATATGCAACCGTCATGAACATTAATTTATTATATAGTGTGTGTTTTTATATATTAGTACTAATAATGAAAATGCGATATATTTGTCCGTTAGCTGTTTTAAAAGTCTAATTGATGCTGGCTTATTTGAGCAAATTAATGTTAAAACAAACAATTTAATGAAATAATACGATCATGAATATCACACTTACATGTCATAATTATTAATAACGAAATTATCTCGTATCGAATGATTTATATATAAAATAATTGGATATGTATATAAACATATATAAACAATTAAAATTAATAACTCTATCAATATAATATATATAATTATATATATAGATATATAGAATAGGGTTCAAATGATACCGATGTAACACTTAGTATATAAAAGTTACATTGGTATCGTTTGAACTCTCCTCATATATATATATATATATATATACATGGGTGTGTGTTTAAATTTAGGTATTTTACTTGTATACAAATTCTGAAGGTGTATCTAGTGTTTCCAATTTTCAAGCATATATTGAGTAATAGTATGTATTTAATATCATTCATTAATATTATTAACGAATAGCATCCGTCACTTCATTAATATCATTAATATTATTACGTTTAAGATTTTTAAGAAATATACTCAATATAGGTGTAAAAACAGGAAATATAATTAATATTTTAAATTTTATAAAAAAATATAGTGTACTTTTTAATATATTCTTATCTTCCATATTAATTATACTTTTTGTCTCGATATTTAGCGAATTTCTTTTGTTTTATTTTGATTTTTATTTTGTAATATTAGTAAAATATTAAATATTTTTTTTTATAAACTAACATTGATGAATATAAGTGACAGAGGATTGTATCTCTTAATCAAAATGTTAAAGGTTGAATCTTGAGTACTGAATATGAAATACATTATGTTAGGAGGCGCTTTTATGTTTTTAAAAAAATACTACAATTACAAAAAATAGTTTTCTATAATATTCTTAATTATTTATTATGAAATGAGAAAATAAAAAAACATATAAATGAAAGATAATCTAATCCAATCTAATTAATATAAAAAATAATAAAATTTTAATTTAAAAAATTAATCTTTTTCATAAACCATCTTTTATTGAAATTTGATATAAGAATTATTAAAAAAAAATCAAATAAACTTGTTAAAAGTTACTTATAATATTTGAGATTCACATCATATTCTCTTGTTTATTTGAGATTTGAAATAAGAAAAAAAAAACACAATTAATAATGTGTGACATGATTCATGTTGATACATAATTATCTCATAAACATAAAATTAAAAGTTCCATTTATTATTATGTGAATAAAAAATATTCATAGAAAGAAATGATTTTTTTAAAAATGATTATCAATAAAAATTAATTTTATACTACCAATAAACTAAAATTTATAATTAACATCGAGTATATGATATTATAAAAATCACTATGGTTACATAGAAGCAGAGTATAACTAACTATATAGGCTCACAATTATTTGGGAGGGAATTGACAACCTAACAAAAGAAGTAAGTACAATAAACTAAAAGCAAAACATTAATTTTATGATAAAGAAAAATAAAAAGGAGTGGAGGATAATTCATAAGAATCGCAAAAAACGTGGGGAACTAAGGAAATCACCGAATTAACATTCGTGGTGGGGTAGGTTGAGTAGTGCGTCATTTACAATTACGTGTAGGGCATCACTTACAATAACACCAATTAACTTTATTTTTTTATTATTTATTTATCATTTTCAAAATTAAAAAAAAAGGCATACAATTAATAGGTATTTATTTATTGTATGATAAAACCGTTGAGGTCGTAGTAGTAGCAGTACATGAGAAGGTTGCGTGTGTTCCGTAATCCATTTAAGACTTGTTTGGGTTTATTCATTATTCTCCTTCATCCACTGTGTGATGCGTTGTTCATAAAAGATAAAAGATAGAGTGAAAGAAGAAGAAGAAAAAATGGTGATTATAAACCTTGGGAAGTATGAGTTGGGTAGGACTCTTGGTGAAGGCAATTTCGGCAAAGTTAAGTTCGCCAGGAACACTGATTCTGGACAACCTTTTGCTGTTAAGATCATCGACAAGAACAAGATCCTCCAACTCAACATCACCAATCAGGTCTCTAATCGATTCATATGCACCATGCTGCGTTCTTACGTCTTTTCATCTCTATATTATTATATATAGTTGCCTTCTAACGTGAGACTCTAACATTCTAGTAAAGTTTTCGGTTTGAAATGTTTGATTTTGGTATATGAAAGAAAATTTGTAGAGTTGTATGTTTGAAAAATGTGTGGAATTGTGGTGAAAATTGCAGATAAAGAGGGAGATAGGGACCTTAAAGCTCCTCAAGCATCCGAATGTTGTTAGATTATATGAGGTACTGCCATGCTCTCTTCATATATTGAAAAACTACTATACCAAGAAAAAAAATTTTAACATTTTTTTTTTATGTGAGGTCAAAAATCTATTGAAACGAAAATTAAACACGTACAAAGTGTTATGTTATCAAGAGAATGTCTAACATATATATATATATA